TCAGATACACCCCCCAGGGACATGGGTCTCGTAACCACAGACAGTTTATCTAAAGCAACACCCTCAGAGTTCAACGCTAAAGAAACTTACCAAGCTTTAACTTCTAAACAAGAAAATAAGAATTTTGATACTGATGCCATTTTTTTAAAAAGATTCCAATGCCAATGTCAAAACTAAAGCTCATAAACCCACAACTCACTTCTTAATTCACACAAGTGAGAATTTTCCTTCTAGTTTTTCTGGCAAAACATCTATGAGAAAAGGCACCATAAATGATGATGATGATGATATGATTATTTCTGAAAGTTCTGACTTGGAACAGTCAGGTATTTCAGACATAAACCCCATAATTGACAGCAGGATATTCACAACTGGCAATACTAATTGTGCTTTCAAAAATAGTTATAATTTTCTCAAGAAAAACATATCATCTATGATTTATAAGACATTACACACAGAGGAAAAGATACTACCACATCCAATATATCTGATTTTGCTGAAGATGAAGCAGATATAACTGTGGAGTCTCATTCTAGATTTAGTAATTTCCTTTTTCGCTCAGCTTTCCAGTGATGACAATTCTAATACGATGGAAACACAGAGGGTATAATCAACACAACTCTTACTTCCCTTTCTCCTTTGAGAAAGATGTCTGTCATTATGCCAAATGTTCCTGTTACCTTCACTAATGATGAAAATAACACTGGCTATCCCAGCCTTCCACCAGAGAGTGTCACATCTGTAAGACTTACACCTATGAGAGTACCTGAAACTCTCATCTTAACTGATTTTGCTTCTCCTAAATAAAACACAGCCCCCAGACTTGTAAAAAGTTAAAACCTATATCCCAACAGCATTATTTTTCAGCAGCATAAGAGTCTGTGCTGACAGATTCAGCTTACTTTAATGAAGGTATTTTCTCAAGAAGGCAAAATACTAAAAGTTAAATGGTCCCAAAGGCTCTTTTAACCTTGTTCTATACTGTTCTCCAAGCTGATCCACTTACCCTATGGACAACATTGCAGATGTCAAATATAATACATCTTCTTCTATTGTCACCAGGGACAGAATTTTTTATATTGGTGCCTCTGGTGATAAAAGGTTTCTAATTTTTTTCTAAGGAATATGGTGATTCAAATTTCTGTTACACAAGAGTAATAGCACTTCTTCAGGAAAAAGTAGAGCTATTGAATTTGAAGTAAACAATCTTACAGAAGTAAATATAATAATAGAAGATGATCCAGATGGAAACAAATGCTATACAAGGTGTTGACCTAAATACTTATTTTAAGAATAAAAATTTCATTGCCGGTGGCAAATTAGTCAACAAGAATTATGACTGTGTCCCAACAGCTGGTTATTCAAGCTTTCCTATACCCAGTGATTTCCTTCCAGCTAGATCTCTTTCTCACAAAACCAACTTCATGGCTGGGGACTCAAATTATTGCCCTTATTCTTCAAGTTATTACCATTATTCCTACTAATGACGTCGGCATTTTCAAAGTCTGTTTCTGAAAAGTCTTTTCCTAGTAAAGTATCCCTGAAAATTGTTAATGTGCCAAATGGCCTTTCCGGGGTCTTATTAAAAATTTTCCTTCTTTTCTTAGCAGTTTCCACCTTTTCATTTAAAAATAAAGAATATATTCTAAAACACATTAATGGATATAAATATAATATTTTACTGAAAAAAGACTAAATATTTTAACTAGCATAATAGACAATCCAACAACAGAAGATACTATGATTCAAATGAAATAAAACATACCTATAAAATCTGATTATTTCTCCTTAAATTAGTGAACACCTTCAATGGCAATGGCCTATTGGTGAAAAAAGGGTATATATTCTCTGAACAAATGACTCCAGTTTCATCCTCAAGACTGCTAAAATTCCTGCAGTCCCAAAGGATTTTCACCATATACTTTCTGCTCTTTAAAAAATAACATATACACGCAATCTGAAGTGCTCATTTAAAGATCAATGGCTTAGAAAACACAGATAACAATACTAACACTCCCCTTTGAGGAGAAGTAATTATGCTGCAATCGGTGTGATTCCATCTCACAGCTATACTAGTAGAAGCAGAGTAGGTGTGATCACAAAAGTAGTCCCTGAAATTAAAGACTACTTGACAAATTTCTATCAATGAATGAAGGTGATATAATTATTTTGCCTGACATATCTAACTGGAGCTTAAAAGTGAATATTTTGTACCTTATTCCAACTCTATTCAGCCTAACAAATAACAGGTCTTACAAGATAACTTCAGCAGATATACAACTAACTTCTTTCCATCCTCTTCCTTTTTGTATGCAAATAAATTTCCCCAAAAAGACACCAAGTCTGTTTATAGCATGCTTTGCTCCGAATTCAGCTCCACATACACTTGATGACAGTGCATTGGGAATTTCAGAGCTATTTTGATTGCTTTAGATTTAAAATAATCTAGTTTAAAAGACTGGATTTTAAAATGTGGTACATATTCACGATGGAATATTATGCAGCCATAAAGGACAAAATTATGAACTTCACAACAACTTGAATGGACTGAGAGTCTATCATACTGAGTTATCTATCACAGAAACAAAGAACTGAGTATCACATGTTCTCACTCATAAGCGGACCTTGAACAATTACCATAATGCTATAAAAAAAGGGATTGGCAGTAGTGGGGAACTGCCTGGGGAAGTTTTAACCTCATCAACAAGGGTACCTGCATAATGAACATTTGTATACCTAACCCTGAATTGTACCCCACATCTTTAAAATTAAAAATTTAATAAAAAGAAACTTCAATTGAGGTAGGTTAAATGTAGAAACCACTTGAATTTTCAAATGTACATTTTTTACTTCTTCCCTTCACTGCCCTGAAATCTAGCAACTGTTGCTAGTACTGAAGGGAACACCACCGTCTACATTAAGCACCTCAATAAGCAAGAAACTTCACATCCCTGGAAAAGCCTCTGCCAGACCTAGATAAGTCATGGGCTCTGTTGAAAATCCCTAAAACTCCAAGAATGTATCTGCTCCCTTAGTCCTCAAATAACAACTGCTTTCTTTTACACATTTGAATCAAATTTATGTGTAATGTTAATTATTAGTTAAGTTTGTGAACCAAAATCCCCAGTGTAAGTGAAGACCTGTAACAAACTGTAAAGTACGCAGCCCCAAATTATTCAAGGCAATTGTAACTTGAAAGGGTGGTAGGACTGACGCAATCTAAATAGTCGCTTATGTCAGCAACTGCCTGGGGTCTAAACTTTGATTAGAAAAGATACTAAATAATGGTCATAGGACATGTAATTGCTTTTATTCAGTAGTTAAAATAGATAAGACAATGCCTGTTTTACTATAAATACTGAAATGAGTTTGTGCTGCTTTGTGCAGGCCCCAGTAAATATCCTACCTCCTTGAAGTCTGATTTCAAAATAAAACTTTTTTCCCAGTTTTCTGCTTCTCTTATCTCATTGGCCATGAGTAGGCAGTTGAATCGTGCATCAGACCTTAATAACAGGAAAAAAATAGGGGTCAAAAATTCCTCTTACTAAGGAAGTCAAGTCAGAAAATGACTTTATTCTGTGATTTTCTTTACTGCCCAGGGAACTGAGGGTATTTCTATTAAGAAACAACCTGTGCCTACTACTAATCTAGGATTTCCTTCCCTGTCCCTGCTGCTGACAGCACTCCCTCTATCTATAAACACACTAGAAACTTTAACAGGAACATTCTCTTGAAGCAAAACATTTCTGGAGAAGCTCCCCATGTCTTTAAGATGAAAAATGTCTATATTGAAATCTATGCTCATATTCTACAGATAATGATGATGTATCTACACCAAGTCAATCACCTAACAGAGAAAGCTGAAAAGTGTGGTTGAGTTCATATTTAATAAAGAATAAGCATTTGTCCTTGACATGGACCCCACTACTCTGCCTGATGCTGCTGTCTTTTCTCAGATTTAATTATGTACGAGTCTGAAAATTCAATTTCTTCTAACAACACCAGAAGAGGGCTGATCCTAAAGAATTAGCAGTAGACTATAATCTCCTTTTATCTAATTAGATAAACCTTAAGATTGATAACACGATGATGATGTTTGATCTAATTAACATCATTATAAAAAATTGAGCATGTAATTCTTAAAATTTATGCAGTTAGTCCACACCTTGATTATTGTTTCTAGGTGAATTTTGACACACGACACCAACTCCTTGCCAGAAATGTCTTTTGAAGTTAAAATACCACTCTGCAGAAAAAATTCCAAAAATAATTTATCCTACAAAACTTGACACTCTCGCTGTTACTCAAGTTAATTCAAGAAAAGGTAAGAATTGCAATGAAATAAAAAATAGCAAAAACCCTAAAAAACCAGTAACTGTTTGCTATTAATATTATCTCCACTCAGAAAGTGAGACTTCCCTTTCTGAAGGAGAGAACTGAAGTTCCTGCTATCCAATTACCTTCTGCAGTTACAGTCACTGCCAAAAAACATTATTAATTTCTCTTAGACATTTAAATATTATGAATCTCAAGAGAAGATGGCTTCACCTATAAAAGACACTCACCTGGAAGATAGGAGACTTTGAACTGATGCTGACAATATTGTGGCTTTCAGAGTTTCCCCTACAAATACCAAACTCAGAGCGTACCTGGCAGACTCTGATGTCTGTTTCAAGTGACACTATCTCCATATCAGAAGGCATGATTCTTATAAATAGCAATATGGTAAATCCTAAGGTCCCTGCAAACTGAAATGTTTGGCTGTGAGTTTGATTTTATAATGAGTGGACTCCATTGTCTTTTCATCTAATATCAATACTCTTAAAATTAGATGACCAATCACAGCAGAGGAACCATCTCCAAGGAGAGCCCTGCGTTTGATGCAACAATCACCATGATGACCTATGCTTTTAATACTATGACAACGCCTCTCCCCTGCCTTGGGATACCATTGAGCCCAGGAGAAAGACCTGTGAGAGTGTAAAGTGCCACTCCACCCCATGGCTGAAGATGGTTTACCTAAAATTTATTCTCCTCCTCCAACAGAAAGCAATAAGACGCCAACTGAAGCAACCATTTTCTTTGGGGCTGACAGCACTATTCCAAGGTCAGAAACAACAATTACTTCAGAAGGAGATCACATTACTTCAGTAAATGAGTATACGCTAGAAGGTGATTTTTCAGGCAACAAACTTACACCTACAAAGGAAAAACTCAAGTCAGAAAATGATTTTGGAAAAGAAATTACCACTCTGACTGGCACTACAAACTCCATGGCAAATGACTCTATTACTGAAAATTTTATTCCAGTGAAAATCAGAAATAATTCATCACCAGTTGCTACTGTTTCTTTGATAGATTTTTCCACTGACATAGCAAAAGAAGATATCCTCTTGGCTACCATTGACACAAGGGATAAAGAGATCGCAATAACTTCTGAAGTATCTGGCCCACGAAAGGACTGCACTGCCAGTGGTGCTGATACTCCTGCCTTTCCAATTGAAGAAGGTGAAGCTGATGTTAACTATAATTCCTCTGTCAAATCCAATGTCCCCACTGATGAGCCTATCCAGATCACTGATTCCTTTATTCCTAAGGCTAAAATCTTTCCTATTAATGAAAACAATTTTGCCACTATTCCAGATATAACTGCCCTTGTAGACAAGGAAATAACTGAAATTGGCCTAATTGCTTCAGAGGATGACCCCAGTGCTGTGACTAAATTAACAGACTCTGACGAGGAAAAGTTCATCACTGTATTTGAACTCACTATCTCTGGGGAGAAAGACAAAGATAACTCAGAGGATATTCCATTAACTGATGAAGAGCCTGCAACTGAAGGGGCCAGTGTTTGGATGGAGAGAGATACCGCCAATGAAGCAGAAACCCATTCTGTTTTGCTTACTGCGGTCGAATCAAGATATGACTTCATTGCCCCTGCATCAGCAGCTGCAAACCTCATGGGAGAATCGTCTACTAAGACAACAGAAGATTTGTCTGAGATGGATAAAGCAGACACTGTAACTAAGATTATCGAACCATTTTCTGAAATTACCTCTATCTTAGATACCCCAAACTACATGGAAGACACATCTACAGCGGAAACGGGTGTCTTTAAGCTCCTGAAAGAAGAACCAGATGAGTTCATGATTTGAAAACAACAAAAGAGATACCACGTAGAATTGTGCTCCAGCCTAGACAGCTAGTCGAAACATCTAAGAAGTTTGTCCGTTAAGCAAAAATCTTAGAAAACAAAAGAATGTAGGCAATTTAAGGCAAGTATTAGACAATGCAGATTAGAAAAGGCTTAGAAAATGCAGATGCTTAGGATTAGAGGTCATGCAGCAGAGTATAATTATAGGAACTTTACAAAAGCAGTATATGTTTCCTGGGTATCACAAATTTTGAGTTATCAAACAAATAATGTAAAATGTTCTATCCTAGACTGCATAAGCATGAGAGAGCAATGAATAAGCTCACTTACATTAAAGATGTATATTTTAGTTAATCTTCAATATTACATTTTAGTGAGAATTAAGAATATGAAGAGAATCAACATCTCAAAAAATTATTGTAGTGTTAAAAGATCTTCTAAGGTACTTATTCTCAACAATTTTTTTCATTAGCATTCTACCAATAATTCTCTTCTATTAAAAAAATTTAACTCATGTAGAAATTTAGACAATTCATAGTTTAGCACACACATGTAAGACATAGAAATATGGTTCTTGTCACATGTTTGAGCAAAATAAAGCAAAATGATATTTTACAAATATGTACTTTTTCAGACAAATATTGTATAAATGTATCAGTGAATTTGATTTCTAGTTGTTAGATTTGTTTTCTGAATGTTTGTCCATTTTTTTCCAGGTCTTAAACAATGAATGTCACACTTTTATGATCTTTGTTAGCAATTCAAGGACATGTATCTTCATTCTTTCCTGACACAGACTTTTTAAAGGGGTCTGTTTTCACTTTGCTGATTTTTGTTTAATAAATCTTTCTGACAAGCAACTGACTTACTGTGTGTATGTATGTTTAATATTCTAGTATAGAATTCTCAAATTAGAAGAGATAGAGTAAAATGAAAATCCATTCTTTCTTTAAAGAATTACATACCTTTAATCACCAAAAGTAGAATTAAAAAGAACAAAAACAAAGCCAAAACACTGAGTAAAGAGTAAACATTTTGTTGTGAGGGATTGTGTATAAATTTGCACCATCAGATAAGCTATAAACTAGACTAATTATGGTGGTGTGCTAAAACCCAGAAACATATTATAGCACAAAAGTTTAGTATATAGTAAAGTGAACTGTAAAACCATGGAATATAATCTTGCTTGAACAATCAATTATTGGGGGAAAAAATTTAAGTTAGAGTAATAAGAAAATTTTTAAATTATGTTTAAAATCATACTTTAAATCCATGCTACATAGATTAAAGACTTCAATGTAAAAAATAAAGCCATATGAAAACTTAGAAAAAAACATACCAGTATGTCTATCCAAACAGAGCTGAGAAATCTATCTAGGTATATAATAATCAGATACTTGTAAATTGTACATGGAGAGGATTAATTTTTGTCAACACCATCAGCCCAAAAACTTGGAAGCCAACTTAGATCTGTCACTCTTCCTTACTTCCTATACCCAATAAAAAGATTGGTTAGTACTTGAGCGTTTCCAATGTGTCAGACACTAAGTAGCTTATTAGCAAAACTTTTATTGTACATCTACTGTATTGCAAGCACCATGGAAGTCTCTTGGGATACCATAGTGAATTAAATGACACTGTCCTTGTTTTCATGGAAATTACCAAGAAAGATAAATTTTAAACAAATAATCACATAGGAAGAAATGCTGACATATACAGATTGAGATGGGTATTACAATGAAAAATAACAAGAGATTATAATTGCAAATTTCACACAAACTTAAGGCCAAGCAACTGTCTCTGAGGAATTGAGATTTAAGCTAAAATAATGAAAAATGTGGAGAGTTAGGGAAACAATATACACCAAATTCCTGAGGACAGAAATAACTCAAGTTTTTCAAGGAAATTAACAGATGTTATCGGCTGGCAAATGATGCTATATGAAGTTGAAAAAATAGGCAGGAGACAAAATGAATGTAAAACATCCTGGTTCTTCTCCATTTGGAAGCTCTGAAAGGTTTTAATCATTTTATCCCCAAAACAATATTAGTACTGAGAGTGCTCACAAGCTGAAAAGCATCATTATTTTATAAACTCTAACAATGCTTCCTTTCAGGGACTCTGTTTAGAAAAACAGCTTGATAGTCCCCTGTGGGTGGAGATGAGACCTTGAAACATAGACTGGACTGGAATGGTAAAACAATTTAAACCTCCAACAGAAGGTTTTGGGAATTTGGAGTTAAGGCTTGGCAAAGATAGGGAGAACAGAGCATACGGGCAACTGGCTAGAGTCCAGGAAGAAGAGTGGCCAGTGAGATTCTAGTAGCCAGTGAACATCAGATTTTTCTGATGAGGTGCCTAACTACCAACTTTAAATTGTGCCACTTCAAAGTAAAGTATCTCCTTGTCCTGAAATTTGATTTCATTGCTATAAGATGCAAAGCCTTGAATATACAATTCTTGAGAAAATAAAGGAGTAGGTGAGCCAAAAAAAAAAAAACCAGTTAAGATGTATAATTAAAGAATGGATATGAGACAGAGTCTAATTCACAAATATTCTAAATAGTGATGACCCTAGAAAGGAGAGGATGTCCACAGAGTGTGGACATTTGGGATAGTCACATCTGACACATAACCGAAGTGAAACCAAGAAAGGTCACTGGCCCAAGATAACCAAGCTAGGAAATGACAAAGCTCAGCTCCCCCAGGTCTGTGTGGCTCCAAAACCCAAGTTCAAAGTACCTTGTGTGAATTGTTTAACAATGAATCACCCCATCTCATCATAACCCTCCCCTTTTCTTCCTTTCCATTGCCACTCCCTTGTTCAAGCCTAATTACAGTCTTGTAACTGGTCATCTCACCTTCAGCCTTTCACACTATCCGTTAATTATGGCCCTCAGCAGTACTCTCCTCTCTAAAGTTTTCTACTCCCCCTTCATTGTGTCTACCCTCCTTGCCACAGTCATTCAGGAACAAGCACATAAAAACCAATCAGAGCAAACAAATAAATAAATAAAAGGATAAGGAGTTGTTTTGGAGGGATTCTGGGAAATAAGTTTCTGAAAGAAACTTCAGTTTGAAAACATTTAGGGCCAGGAGTTCCTGGAACCACCTTGGAATCACAAAGAAGCAGGGGAGAAGGTGGTGCACACAACATCAATAAGGGTACCTGATCTCAAACCAGGCAAAGTGGGGACCGAAGGGAGGCCCAAACTTTACCTGTATGATGTCCACTTGTATAACTAATCATGAATTGTACCCACATCTTTAAAATAAAATATGAAAAAAAGAAGAAAAAATGGAAAAAAAAAAAAAAGAAAACTGAACTAATCTATTCCTGTGAGAACAAATCCAATCTTGTCAGCTAGAGAACCCGCGCACTACCATGAAAACACCAAGCTATTCATGAGAAATCCACCCTCTCCCCCCGCCAGCAGGATGCCCAGAGTTGATGCATAGTCTTCACCCATGCCCAGTGACAAGCTAACAATTAGAACTTGGGTGAAGAAAAAAACTGGAGAAACCAAAGGTGTTCTATGTATGTTTTGAAGTCATTGTGTCTTACTCAAAAGTGGAAGAATGAAAATAAATGTGCTATAAACAGGTTTAAAAAGAGAGAGAGAATGAAGCCAACACTGAGGAAATTAGAGCTAAGAAATAGAAATACAAACAATAAAGAATGTGATCCTAGTTACATCGTGTAACAAGCCTAATTGGTCTTATTTACCTGAGACAACACATTTTTTATTCTAGTTAAACAAGTTGGACTGGGTTTTCTGTTGCTTGAAACCAAAGCATCTTAATAACTACGATTCAAGCTATTTCAAGTCCCTGTGTCCTTTTCATGCTTCCTTCACTGGAATCCCTCACAGACTCCTATGGTACATACTTAATCTTCTTCCATATTCACCTCAAGTGCTATATTCTCTAACCACCCCTAGGTATGATTACCTATCGTGTGCCCCATTTAACATTCTCAATCACACAAGCTATAATATTTTATTGTATTTATTCGATAAAAGATACTCCTAGGTCGCAAGATAATCCTGCCCATAGTTTCCTCCGACATAGATATCTTTGTCCAAATTTCCCTCTGTCCCAGTGTAACCCCTGTACACAATCCCTGCAGTATCTTTTCCCCAAAGTTACCCCTACTCCTCTCTGTGTCATAGGGAATTCCTGACCACAATGTGAGACTGAGCGAGGGAGAGAGGGAAGGAGACAGGGAGAGAGGAAGGGAGGGAGGCAAGCCAGTTTTAAGAGGAAAAGACTCCTGACCACAAAGAAAGAACATTATTAGCGCTACATGAGGATGCATTAAAGAACATCTGTAACTTCAAGGTACCAAGAGGAGTGGGGAATTAGGTCAGTATGTTTATAGTATGTATGCTTCCTCCTATTCTATCTACTGCAGTTTAAGAGTAAACAAAAAATACGTGAATTAAATTTTGAGTCTGTGTTCTTTATTTTCTTTGCAACATTACTAGTGTGCTCTTTCGGATTTTTCACATATACCCCAAGCATAAGTTGAAACTGGCATTCTCTTTCCCTCAAACTTCTCCTCTTCTAGTACTCTACATCTCACTAAGGCATTATCTGCATAGTTGTCCAAGCTGGAAACCAGGAACCCATCCTTCACTCTTCTCTCTCATTCCCCACACCTAACATACAAAATTTTTACCTTAGGATACCAAATATAGAAATCTATTTGCCTCCATTCCCATTGTCACTTAGGATCCACAGCTCTATCAAACAAGGGTGACATTTATTACACAAATTGATCATATCAGTTCCACCTCCAGGCATAAAATTCAATAGTGACTTTCCACCAACTTTAGATAAAATCTAAAATCTTCCTAATATTTGTCAGGGCCCCCACAACCAGGCTCCAGTTTGTCTATGCAACCTCATTTTATTTTACTGTTACTTTTTGTTCTTAAATTCCAACTAAAAAGCCCTCCTCTTGATCTTCATTGGAGCATCAAGCTATGTCTTGTGTAA